AATGTTTGCTCCTGAGCAGGTCCTTTCATGCACGTGGGCGAATGGCATCATGAACAAACTGATTTGTAACGCTGTGACGTTCCCATAGCTCGTCTTCCAGTATGAGAAAGAAACACGAGCCCTAAACATTTAATCCGCATTTCAGGACGAAACGCTCAGCAACAAGCATCTAACTTGACCTCAGAGGTGGTACCGCTTTGCTCTTCTTTGGGTTCTGGGTTCCTTTGTTAAAGAATTCCAACCCCAGAAAAGGGTACCTTTGTCATGCGTTCCGGGCTACCGAATTAAGCAGAAAAAACCTGAAACCCTAAACCCTAAACCCTAAACACCCCTTGTCAAACACAGCCTGCCAGAGCAGCTAGGTCCGTCTTGCGGCCACGACGTCTCCCCCACAGCCAACTTCTGCTCGAACTGCGGTGCCCCTCGGGCGCCTGCGTCCAGTGGAGGCCTCGATAGGATTGGACTCGGTGAGTTCCAAGAGAACCATTCATACCCCCCCCCTAGAAATAGGGTTTGGGGTGGGGGGGTCACCTCAGGGCCCACCTATAAAAAATAGGTGGCAAACCTATTTTGGTCAACGCCCCCACCCTAACTAAAAATAGGGCTGAGAGAGCCGAATGTCTGGAGAGACACATTGTGAGCCATGCAAAGTGTGCGGAGCACTACAGCGTGTTAGAGTGGTCCACCCCCCCCCCCCTGCCCAGACCCAACCCCCATAATAGGGCCAGCCCTATTTCCCGGCCCCCCCCACCCACCCCCCCCCTAGGCAGGGGGTATACCATTCTGGATTAATGCAATCCAAAAAGAGCACCTTGTGTATTCATAGGGTACTCTTGGGAGTCTAGTCACTCACTCAGGAGGAGATCAGAGGCTTCAGGGAGTCGTTGTCGGGCTCCAGGGGTCGTAACAGCAACGATGTTCCCAAAGAGCCCAATACTTAATTAAGGAATACTCCTTAAATCATACGAAGGATCCCTATATGGTTTAAGGAATGTTGCTTAGTTAAGGAGTTTTGGGCTCTCTGGGTTCAGGTCAGTTGCCCTTGCCATCCGGGCCAGCCACGCCTTTGCCGCAAAGCTCGGCCGCTTGTGTCAATGATGGGCTTCTGCCGCGCTGCAGTGTTACATATATATATATATACATATACACTCACATATACACGTTTTAATACATAGACCTAGACAATATACTCAAACAGTTGTACATGATAATATATGTATATATATATATATAGAAATATATAAATACATGTCGGGCTGCTTCCACATGTCTGCACAGCCCGCCGGCATAGTTTTGCCGTGCGCGCTTGTCGTCACAGCCCACAAGAGCAGTGGGCACTCGCCCTGGGTTTGGCCATCAATGTTGAGAGTTCGCCTCAAAGAGTGCAGGGTTGATGGGATGTCTTGCGGACTCACTGCTGGCCCCCCTGTGCTCGCGGAAATGTTTGCGGACCCACGATTGTCTGGCCTAGGCAAAGTCCGCCGCCTCTACCGGCCTAGCCGAGCTCTCCGACCTGGGCAGGTCGCCGGATTTTTTGGGGCTTGGGGTTCAGGGTTTAGGGTTTAGGGTTTAGGGTTCAGACTTTCAGGGGTGCAATAAGGGCCAGGCTAAGCTCCAGATCTTTCAGAGCCAGAAAGGTAGGGCCGGTAGGGCCTTGAGGGCCCTCTACCGGATGGTTTTAATCCTTGTAGGGACCTGACTCTCTGACTTACCACTGGTTTTTGCATTGCTGTTCAAACCCTAAACCCTAAACCCTAAACCCTAAACCCTGAACCCTGAACCCTGAAACCCTAAACAAGAACATGGCTGCTGGATACCACCTCCGAACCCTTACAACGCCCAAAAGACCCCAAGAGCCCTTAAAACCCCTTAAGTCAGGAATACAACCTACGTCATACTGAAATCCCTCTGTAGTTTAAGGTGTAGTCCTTAATTCAGGGTTTTTAAGGGCTCCTTTGGGAGTGAACAGTGAGAGTGGAAGGGGGTCGGGCGAAGAAACGACGAGAGCGAGCTGCCCGGATGCTCTCTTTTTTTTGCGTTTTAGTCTGCACACCCTAAGACTTGAACTCTTATAAAGCCTTTAACTCTACAAGGCCTCCAGACCCACAACCCCATTCTAATTCCTTAAGGCCCCTAGATTCGACTCTCAATCCTCAAGACCTCAGCTCGAGTCGCAGGGACTCAGCCCTGCAGAAGGAGGTCGGCAGACTCCTGAAGGCCTTGGGAGGGGGAGGGGGTCCAGGGATTCCAATACCCCGTGTTTTTGGAATATTCCTTTGTGGTGCTTTACTGTATCCTTAGATCCTTCGCCTTTTTGGGTTTCTTGTTTTTTTTGGCAGCTAAAAATTTAATTTTTAGCTACCCTTCTAAGTGCGCAAACAAGATTCCGTAGAATTCCAGAGGGTTCCCTTGATTATGGTTTCAGGAATATTCCTTAATTAAGGCCTATTGGAGTCTCTGGGAGGGGGGCGGTGGGGTTCATGGGTTGATGATGTCGGGTTCTGTGAAAATCCAGGGTTTAGCGGCAAAGTTTAGCGTTGGCTTAGGGGATGCTATAGGGCTTTGGGATTGGGCGCTAAGGGAGCACTCAGCCAGTAAGGAGAAGGTTCCCTGAACTGTTATCCTTAAGGGCAAGCGAATCCTACAAACCCTAAACCCGAAACCCTAAACCCTAAACCCTAAACCCAACCCGCAAAAAACAAACCCACGAGTGACACAGAGCGGGCATAGGTCAACCTCGAGCTCCAGGGGCAGTTGGCTGCCAAGAAGGCGCGGCGGTCTTACACATACATAGTAAGCAGATAAATCTACATACATATATACAGAAATAGTCTATAATGCATACAACAATACTGGTAATAATAGCAGTAGTAATGCTCATAATAATAGTAGATAATACAACAGTACCGACAGGATCCTTTTGCTGATATGACCAAAGAAGCCTGTGTATTTACTAGACATCACCAAACTGCCCAGAGTCCCTCATCAGGCCATTGGTGAGCAAAAACCGTTTGAGCACGCCGTGCTCTTTTCATTGCATGACGGGTACTCCGCTTCGATCCAAGTTGTCTGTTCCATTCCGCTCCACTGGTCTCCGCCTGGTGAGCTCCAGTGTACTCTGGATTCGTGTGCTTCCTGCTCCTTTTCTACAAGTAACACTCAGTTAACACTACAGTTAACCTCGGTGTCCATCATCGTCAATATTGAAGAAGGGGTGCGGGGTTATGCTCATGTGTCGTGTCACTTGTTGTTAATTAGGTGGTGCAAGATTTCCTCCATCAACCGTAGCAATAACAAAGTTCTATATATATATATATAACTACAAGTATTTATTGATTTGTTTGTTTGATTTTTTAGGACTTACTTGTTTTTTTTTATTCATTTGCTCACTTGCGTTCATGTGTTCATATTTCTTAAATTGTTTATTCGAAACTTCGTCGCATCGGACAGTTCTGCTACCATGTACTTGTAAACCCCCTTCCCCCATCGACTCCTCCACGACGTGTGGATTTTGGGGCATGGAGGTGCTGATTTAATGTAATAAGTGTTTAAAACGGCGTAGAAATTCCTCCACTGGCCAGGCCACATAAAATGCACCTGCTTGTACTCCGAGTCCTCCACCAACGCATGACATGCTAGTGCGACGAAACTTTCATCTTGCTGATGTATTTATTGTGTTTTTTTATTCATGTTCTGTAGACATACTTAGTTACTTAGTTTTTGAATGATATTTTTCATTTATGGCTTAGTACCCGACAGACCCTACAGTTTATATACTTAATGGGAAATCTTGAGCTTGTGGTCACGAGCTACTAATTTGCTTGTCAAGAACCCCTCCCAAAAAAAATGACCATATTATTCTTTGCAAGGGCAACATGGGGGTTTTCATGTTTGTGGTGGGGGCTTTCTTCAACAAATAGCAGATATCAGGGGACTCTAGAGAAGAGCAGAGGCCAATAGGCCAACCGCACCTCGCCCTCGCCACGGAGCATTTCCATTCAAGCCATGTAGGGCTAGGGTCCTAGGTTTCTGTTAAAGTAAAAACTCAACCATAGTAAGCACGCCTTTCAACTACTCTGGAACAGTATCACAGCAAGTTCCCGCACCACTAGTACTGCCTCAGGCCTAAATTCTACCCTAAACCCCCAAAGACTAAACATCCCGCGAATCATGCAAGCCTGCAGCTCCCAGGCCGCCACCTTAAACAGAAAAAACAAAACCCTAAAACCGCAAGCCCTCGACCCTAAACATTAAACCCTAAACCCTGAACGCTAAACGCTAAACCCTAAACTAAACCCTACCCCCCCTACACCCTAAACGCTAAACCCTAAACCCCTCATCCCGAAAGCTTGGCCCTGAGCCACGCAGGAGTTTGCGATGGATGGGCAGCACCAAGGCTGGCGGCCCAGCTTGGGAGGTTTAGGGTTTAGGGTACAGGGTTTAGGGTGGGGAGGGAGGGGGGAGCTGAAAGGGGTTTTAGCTCAAGGGTTTGGAATGTTTTTTTTTTTTGGGGGGGGGGGAGTTGCGGTAGAAGGGTTTGGAAAGGGCTTTGGGGTTCTGCATTTTGGAGCCCGAAACCCTGCCTTAAGGACCAAAGGCCGTAATCTTCTTCTGGGCAGTACCCTTCCTTAAACTATAAAGGGAGCCTTAGTATGATTTAAGGTATCTTCCCTAATTCAGGGGTATTGGGCTCTTTGGGTATGTGGGCTGTCATAGAACACCGCGCACCCTTCAGGTTTTTATTGAGGTTTAGGATATAGGGTTCAGGCCCTAAACCCTAAACCCTAAACCCTAAACCCTAAACCCAGGGTTTCGGAACACCTCTCTCTGGGTGGCACTGGAGGCCCGGCTACGAAGCCACAGCTGGGCTCCCCGCGACCCCAAGTCGTGGCTGCCTCAGGGTTTTTTGCAGTTGGGGTTCTGAACAAAATGTGGGTTTAGGGTTTGGGGTTTAGGGTTTAGGGTTTAGGGTTTAGGGTTTTAGGTTCTGGCTCGCGGCAATGCCTGGCTTCATTGATTGGTCACATGGTGCCTTACGAGTAGTCCCCTAAACCCTAAACCCTAAACCCTAAACGCTTGCACAGCTCTGCCCGAAGTGACCGAGGACGCTCCTCGATTGGAGACCGTTTTCAAGGGTGCAGAGGCGCCGCTGTCAGCCTACGCGCATTCGTAAAGGGTTTGGGGGGTTAGGGGTCCGAAACGCCTAGCCCTAAACCCCTGAACCCCTAAGCCTAAACACCGACTCCCTTGGCAAACGCTACCTGAAACGCTCAGCCCTAAACCCGAGACAGCATCGAGTTACGCCAGCTGCCCCCCCTTTTATAAGGTTCTAACCCTAAACCCTAAACCCTAAACCCTAAACCCTAAACCCTAAACCCTAAACCCTAAACCCTAAACCCAAGGGAGGGGGGTTCAAGGGGGGCTATGTAACCCAAGGTTCCCTAATGCTCCACACTACTCCCTAAGGCTCCCTAAGCGTCCCTAAGGTTCCCTCTAGGTACCTACCCCCCCATGAACCCCCCTCCCTTAACTTTGTCATAGTGTGGGAAACATTTTTAAGGGTACTTAAACCCAGTAAGAATATAATTTTAAACCCTAAACCCTAAACCCTAAACCCTATAAACCTTGAGGACCCTATAACCCTTGGTCGGCCGCCAGGAACGCTGGTCCCAAAGTCCGGAGCAGCCTGGCAGGGCTTCAGGACTAGGAGGCCCTGGGGTTTAGGGTTTAGGGTTTAGGGTTTAGGGTGAGAATACTGTCTAGGAGGACCCCCAGGGTGGGTTCTCCTTCTAATCGAATCATAAGAAGGATCCCTCACACTTTTAAGGCGGAGTTCCTATATTCACTAGGACCCAGAGTAGGCCCTTATTACCTTTTTTTAGGTTTGGGCTCCCGTCTAAGCCCCTTTAAACCAGAAAGGGCACCACGTTCATTCCTAGGTTACTCTTGAATTGTATGGTTGTCCTTCTTTGGAATGACGTGGATCGCATTTAGGAATATTATATGTAGAGAGACTGTTGTTGAATGGGTTAAGAGTATGATCTGTGAGTTGAGTAGTGGGGAGCATTCGGGAGCCTTGGGTTACAGACCTCCCTGGAACCCCTTTCCCCGACCACTCTTTCCCCGAAACTACCCTTAGATAGAAGTGACGGGCCGAGGGTTTCCGTCCTAGGCAGCCCCTGCGCAGCGGACCAGGCACCATACGAGGTGGGGGAGGGTTGAGTGTTTAGGGTTTAGGGTTTAGGGTTTAGGGGTTTAGGGGTTTAAGGGTTAGGGTTTAGGGTTTAAGGGGGGTTCTCTCATTAGGGTTTTGGGCTTGGACAAGGAGGCCTCTTGCGAAAAGGGTTTCTGGGATTTAGGGTTTCGGGGGGTGTTCACAGGGTTTAGGGTTTCGGGCTTAGGGCGTGGGGAGGCAGGCAGGACACCCAAAGAGACCTTAAGCAAAATGGGCTTAGGGAGGAATCTACAGGGTACAGAGCATGGTAACGAAGACCCTTCAGCGCGCTGCGATCAACGATCCCCAATGCTTACAAGCCTTGATGCAGCTCGTTTCTGACTCCGAGATTGGAGAAGGAGCTCGGCTTTCGGGTTTAGGGTCTCGATTGGGTGTAGGGAGCCTCTTTAGCGTGCGCTGCACATCATCACCGGCCTTGTCCAGAGAGCCACTTATGCCTACATAGCACCGTGCCCTGGCCGTGCTGTTGATTTGGCCAGGGATATTGGCAAGTTGCTTGTGGTGGCTCATGTGAATCAACTTGGTGGCCCAGTGGTGCCCTTTTTCTCAATTTTTGGTTCAAGCTTCCCTTAGAAGGTAACCAACCCCAAACCCAAAGGGTGCCCTTGTTATCAGATGCTGGGCTACCAAGTTAAAGAACCCTAAACCCTAAACCCTAAGGGCCTCTAAGCCGCTTTGGCACAATGTCTGCGCACGTTCTCTGACGAAAGTTGAGCGGTGCAGGTAACCAGAACCCTGGGAGGATCCAAACAGTAGAACCCCGAAATAGTACCCTATACACACTCCTATACTACTATTGGGTTACTCTTAGGAACCCTTAAGGGGATCTACTTTTTGCATCCTCCCAGGGGTCTAGGTAGGGGCCATTCTTGGACCAGCATGCAAAGCGGTTGTTTTTTTCTTTCGGCCCTAAACCCTAAACCCTAAACCATTCGAAACACCCCAAAGACATTGACCAAGGCCAGAAACTCTGTTCAGCCCTAAACCCTGAACTCTAAAACCCGAAAACCCTAAACCCCTCACAAGCTCAAACATGGCCACGCCTTGAGACGATTGAGACAACCCTAAACCCTAAACCCTAAAACCCTAAAACCCTAAAACCCTAAAACCCTAAAACCCTGAAACCCTGAAACCCTGAAACCCTAAACCCTGAAACCCTAAACACTAAACACTAAACACAAACAAACAACAGGTGCTGCAAGTTACAGCCAGCGGTGTGGCGAGGTGACCGTGCCGCGAGTTGCGGTTTCGGGTTTAGGGTTTTAGGGTTTAGGGTTTAGGGTTTAGGGATAGGGTTCAGGGTTTAGGGTTCAGGGTTTGGGGTGTAGGGTTGGGTTTAGGTTTAGTGCGCTTCTATACGGGTTTAGGCTTTAGTTTCCTTGATACTCTTCTGGGATCTGGTGAACGAGAGCCAGTGTCGGGTTTCAGCGTTTCTGCCTTTCATGGGTTGAGGATTTGGGATCTGGGGGTCGTGTGATATCAGCGACCCGAGGAGGGACTCAAGCCCTCCCAACGCTCCCCCCCCCCTCTTAGTCTTAGGGTTTAGGGTTTAGGGTTTAGGGTACACCCTAAACCTCAATATGTTAGCTTGCGCCCCCATTGCTTACGGTTTATTCGTTTTCAAAAGCTTATTGGTTTAGAAGCTGCTTCCAGGCACGAATGGGTTTAGAAAGGTGTTTGAGGTTAAGGATTTAGGGTTTAGGGTTCAGGTTTAGAAGGATGTTTAGGGTTTAGGGCCAAGGCCTTAGAAGGGTTTAAGGTAACCAGGGAAGGCTATGGCAAAGCGCATATCCGCCTCCAGGGCGTGCATGTTTGAGCAATTTTGGGTTGAGGGCCCAGCATGCTGCAGGTTGAGGGTTTAGGGTAGAGGATTTAGGGTTGCCGCCTTCTTCGCGACCGGGTTTGTAGCAGACAAGAGGCTCTAGGCCCTTTGTTGGTTGGCTGGCGTGCGACAAACCTCTGCGCGACCGAATCCAATTTTTGGCCTATCCTGCAGGGTAGGTACGAAACAGGTGGTTAACATGGGGTCGTTGCATCCGCACTCATGCCTAACGTGCTCGTTGAGTTCTGTATCCACATCGGGCTTTTCCGAATTTTGGGGTACCTTATTGGGGTGCTTATTATAAGGGAAGCCGAATAGTTCAGCGACTCTATTAGGGGTCCCATCTTTTCGTCAACCCCCTTGAAATCTGAAAACCCTAAAGCCTAAACCCCAAACCCCAAACCCCAAACCCTAAACCCTAAACCCAAACCCTAAACCCTGGGGTTTAAACTACACATATCCACTTCCAGGGGGGACGAAGCTCCACTTGACTCCGGACCCTGCATCTGCCACGTGCAGCGACCTGTGCATGGCACGTTCTCGGGACCTACGTCTTTTTTGGGGGGTGTAGGGTTTAGGGTTTAGGGTTTAGGGTTTAGGGTTTAGGGCAAAGTTTAAGGTTTCAGCTGCGGCTAGACTTTCAAAGAGCACTGCCAGACTATGTTGGATCTTCTGGAGGCCGCAAAGCTATATTCATATTGGGAAAGGGTTTAGGGTTTAGGGTTTAGGGTTTTGGGTTTTGGGTTTTGGGTTTGGGGTTTAGGGTTTGGGGTTTAGGGTTTGAGGGTTTAGGGTTTAGGGTTTAGGGTTTAGGGCCGTGCTATTCACTACGCGTACTTGCCAGTTGCTTCTGTTACTTGGAGGTTCATGGCGCTTATGAACCAATTATAACTGCACTTATAGCTGTACTTGTTGCCCCTATTAGGGCACTTAAAGGGGCTTATAAGCGGGCTATAGGTACAGTTAGAATTGGGTAGTAAGTACCACCAAGTAGCCCTAAACCCTAAACCCTAAACCCTAAACCCTAAACCCAGTAAGTACCATGAACCTCCAAGTACATGTCCGGCTCGTTGTCAGGGGTGGCGGCTGGTGGTGCCGGACCTCCGAGCAGCACCTGTAAAGGCCCCGACCCTTTTTTGTGCAGAGTTCCGACATGTTGCAACTGCGAGGGGGTGGGGAGGGTTTAGGGTTTAGGGTTTTAGGGTTTAGGGTTTGGGGTTTAGGGTTTAGTTAGGGCGAGGAGGGAGAAACGCTGGGCTGGGACCGAACCCGAAACGGTCTGAACTGGTTTTCAGAGGGAGCGATTCTTGAGGTGCAGTGCATCAAGCAAAAGAACTCTCCCAAATTTACAGGGTTCTTAAGGGAGGGGGTTCCAGGGGGGTAGGTACCTAGGGAACCTTAGGGAAGTTTAGGGAGCCTTAGGGGGTATTCGGGAACCTTGGGCTACCTACCCCCTTTGAACCCCGCACCCTTTAAGAACCCCTGCAGATGTCCACTTGCGAAGTGCACTCCATCTATCCATATTTGTCCCGAGCACACACATACTCATGCACGCGCGCACATTCTCTCGGTCTGTCTCTCTCTCTTTCTCTCTTGCTTGCTTTATGTCTCCTTCTCTCTTGTGTGTGCGTGTGTTCCAACTACTGTTCTTCTAATGATTAAGGCCCTCCCCCCCCATAATAAGCTTTGTTCGACGCAAGACGCATGTGTTTGGAAGAGGTTTGCGGTGGATCCTTGTTGGCTTGACAAAGCTTGACAGCTTTCGGCGAAAGTTGGAATCCCAAACCCTGGACCCTGAAAGCCTAGAATAGGCATCCCCATGCCGCGAACCTCCCCAAAGCCTATTTAAACCTTGATCCCTATAGACCCCCAAAAACCCCAAACCCTAAACCCGGCACCTTACTTCAAATGGACACCCCTTAAAGGGACTCTAATTTCAGGGGGCCTCCCCATTAGAGTCAAGAGCCCTGTGAGACTCCTCCGAGCAGGACTTGCGAGCGTCGGGCGGTTCAGACACCTTCGACGCGCCCGTAGCTCAGGGGCTCAGGGCTTTTCGGGTTCCGGGTACAGGGCTCCAAGGGTTTAGGGTCTGGGGTTTAATTAGGGTTTAAGGTTTAGGGGTTTATAGAGATAAGGAGAGACACCAAAAGCCTGATGCATAGAAGGGTAGGACCCCAGAACCTATTCTGGTGCCGTGGGCATATTCGCCACAGACTGCCTTCATCCAGAGAACTTCTCCGAGGAGGAGTTCACCTTGAGGGTTAGGGTTAAGGTTCATGGTACTTCTTAACCAAGTATAACTGCACTCATAATCCAGTTAAAAGCCCCTTAAGTGCCCTAATATGGCTACAAGTACAGTAATAAGTACAGTTATAACTGGTTAATAAGTACGATGAACCTCCACGTAGGGTTGATGTTTTAAACTTTAGAGTCCTCCTAGTAGCAGGGTGCTAGGCTAGAGTTGCTGGTATCTATAGCTCACAGAGTACCCCCCCCCCCCCCGGGCCCTTTAGGGAAATCAACTGGCACAAAAATCGTTAGACGCGCTGTCCAGGGCCAGTTCAGCGCGGCGCTCGAATTTCGGAGGCCTGGAAAGGGTGACACCCTAAACCCTCAACCCTAAAATTCCAAAGCTCAGCAAAGGTGGATCCCTGACGAATCTTTCCCTGGTATATGGCGGTTTTCTAAAATTAGGAGACCTTTTGGGGATCCCTATTAGAAGGGTGGTCACGCTTTATAGAGGGGGCCCAAACAGGGACCACAATCTAGAGAAAATTGCCCATGCACTGAAGCCCAAGGGTTTAGGGTTTAGGGTTTAGCGTTTAGGGTTTTGGGTTTTAGGTTTAGGGTGTTTTGATTAGGCTTTGAGACGATACCACGCGTGCGTATGGGGCCAGAATTTCAGACCCCAGTACCCTCAACCCTGAACGCATTGGGGCAGACTTGTCTGTGACATTCGGCGAGTGAAGCCGTCCTTGGAGCCTGGAAGCAACTTGCAACCTCAAGCCCACCACTCCCAGCAGTATGTCGAGCTGTCAAGACCCTAAAGCGGGTTGTAAGTACGATTTCTTCGTAAGTACGGTCGGTACCCTTGAACCCCAAACCCTAATATGGATCAACGAACCGAGAGCCTTGCCGCGAGTGTGAGAGTCGAAGCCCTAAACGCCCGAAAAGATCCTGTTCTGGCTTTTGCTCTTCGTAGCTGAGTGAGCACACTTTACACTTTTTTGGGATACTATAGCCCCCTACAGAAAGTGTACACTTCTTTGGGGGCTTATGAACTCAGCAACCCTCAACCCTAAACCCTAAACCCTAAACCCCCTTTTGGGGCTTATGAACTCAGCAACTAAGTGCTTTCTGCTTCGTCAGGCGAGGCATCTCGGCGTGGGGCACTTCGGACCAGAACCATTTGGAAACTTAGGGTTTAGGGTTTAGGGTTTAAGGGTTTAGGGTCTAGGGGTTTAGGGTACTTGGGGTCAACAGATGCTTATTAACTTATTCTATCTCATGCGCATTGCCCCAATCACCCTTTATGTGTTTTTCCTATCTTTCTAGGCGGAGGGGTAACCAAGTCATCACTTTGTTTTTTCTTCAGTACTGGCGAGAGTATATAAGTGAAGGTAGCTTGATCTAAGGCTTAGAGATTCTGCGTCGAGCAATTCGGACACCCCAACATTGTTTGTAACGTAAGTGTTACTCAAGTCCTTGTTTTACGCAGGCACTGACAGAACTTGAAAAGAACCCTGGGCCAGGCCAGACCTCCCACAAATACTCAAATATCGAGATAGGTAGGTGGGGATATTTCAGATTCGGATGATATTTAGGACTATTTTTCAAAGGGTTTCAAGGACAATCCTAGAATAATGCGAGCCCCTCCCTAGAATCGTTAAAGACCTATTACTAGAAGCATCCTGCCTTCATCGCCTGGTAGGTCAGGTACGGCATAGCTCGTGTAGAGGACTATGTCGAGGTTCACGGAACTGCCAAAGCAGAGGTACAATTGCTGCAAAATGCAGCTGGTGTTCTGTATACGGTGCTGCGAAGCGCAGCTGGAGAAGTAGTAGCCATCAAAGACAGGGCCTTCATCGCCTTGTCTACCATCCAGTCCCACAGGCTCGACGATCCCCTTCTGTAGAGCACCCTAAACCCTAAACCCTAAACCCTGACTAAGGCGTGTGGCTCGCTCTCCACGGAGAGGGAGGCCCTCCCTGGGGTGATTGCTTGGGGGGTCGAGGGACTTTTTGTTGCAGTTTATATGTAGTGTGCAAGGGTTTAGGGCTTAGGGTTAGTGTTTAGGGTTTAGGGTTTAGGGTTTAGGGTTTAGGGTTTAGGGTTTCTGCGATATGGCGCATAAGCTGTGAAGGTTGGGATGCAGACTCGCTTCGACAGCTTCGTGAAATGCGAAGAGCAGCCATGGCCCGATAGTGGAGGGCCATCAACATCTTTATCCCGCCCCACGCCGTCTCAGGCGACAAAACCACCCAAGCCTATTCCTTTTCGGGTTTCTCAAGAGCCAACTGCCCACTTCCAAGAACTTCTTCCATTCCAGGGAGTCTCGTGTCCGAGGTTGAGGCCCCCGGCAATCAGAAAATTCCAGCTGTGAGGGAGGTTTGTTTGAGGCCCACAAGAGGGTGCCAGGGAGGGAGTCGAACGTCCTGCATGGAGGGGTTAAAGGGGTGCAGGCCCCAGACCTTGGGGTTTTCCCCGGTACCGGGCACATCGTGGGTGCTACCGACCTCCGAGCTGCAGGAGGCGGGCGAGCGGGTCGACTTGCGCCATAGACGTCGGAACGCTGAAGCGCCGCCCCCCGCACTGTAGGGGCGGCGGGCTAGGCTCTGAGTTTAGGATCGAAGTAGGGAAATTGTTGGGGTGCTTACTCCAGATATCTCTGCTTGTACCTTCTACCTTGTGCTTGCTCTCTAAGCCCCCCCAATCCTCCAACACACCTCAGCCACCCCGGAGCCCCTACGCGTCTCTACGAGTTGCTTAAGAACCCCCTATATATATATATACATTTTTATTTTTTTAGGGGGGGTTCTGAATCAAATAGACCCTGAACCCTAAACCCTCGTAGTGGACGTCCTATTTTAGTACAGCACCTTCCCTTCCACTCTTTGGGGGTGTCAGCTCTCGACCGAGCACGCCGTCTTCTTTAACCCATGTTTTCTTCTACGGTGCTGCCACTCTAGTAGATGCCAAAAAGTCGGAAACTCAATAGCCTCCATCCCTAAGAAAAAAGTCTGGGGAATCCCAGAAATAAAACACGATTTGTCCTTAAAAAGTCTTCCCAACTTTTTTTGGGGGGGTTACTGTACACCTTACAGGCACCCAAGGGCCCTTAATGACGGTTTAGGGTTTATAGGGTTTATAGGGTTTGTAGGGTTTATAGGGTTTATAGGGTATATAGGGTTTATAGGGTTTGTAGGGTTTATAGGGTTTATAGGGTTTATAGGGTTTATAGGGTTTGTAGGGTTTATAGGGTTTAGAGGGTTTAGAGGGTTTATAGGGTTTTTAGGGTTTATAGGGTTTAGAGGGTTTATCGGGTTTATAGGGTTTAGAGGGTTTATAGGGTTTATAGGGTTTATCGGGTTTATAGGGTTTATAGGGTTTATAGGGTTTATAGGGTTTATAGGGTTTATAGGGTTTAGGGTTTCTAGTATCCGCATAAGCTACATTCCTTAATTACTGGTTTCTTGGTGTTTTCCCCGACAACTCTGGTGCTTGGACTGGAGGTGCTGGAAAGCCGGATCCGTGGCGAGGACCAGACGTTGCCTTTTCCATTTCTTCAGATTACAGGGCTTACGTAGGATTTAGGGTTTATCTTAAGGGTTGCGGTGCCCAGGGATGGACGGAGCTTTCTCAAAATGCTTCCACACTGAGTGCACCTGTCTGCGCGGGCTGCTTCTGTTATCCCACTTGCTTTGCTCTGAATCTTCATGATAAGCTTAAACCCCTTCTGCAACTGGGCTAAAGAACTAATCCTTAAACTAAAAACCGTAGCCCGGATCTCTTGTTTGGCTGAAGTCTCAAAGCAGACATACTGCAATATCTGGGCTCGGACATGCACCCCTGCCCTGGGCTTGGCGTGCTCTGCCGTTGCAGGTTTTGAGATTTAGTGTTTCGCGTGAAGGGTTTAGGGATTCGGTTTTTAACGCAACTCAAGTTAAAACTTAACGCAGTCCTGCGAAGACTAGTGTCCAAGTACGGTTTAATGATAAGGACTGGGAGGGCAAGCGTATATAAGTTCGCCCTATAGGGATCGATCCATTGGGAAGCCATGACGAACTACCGCGCTTGGGATTCCAAGGCCGATGCTCTCTGCCGAGAGGCTGATGAGCAGGACAAGCGGGACGAAGAAGCCAACAACCAGGCTCTTGGACTTGCGGAAGGCCCAAAAGGTCCTCCCACAGAAAAGGCCGAAAAAGAGAGGAAGGAACTGGAGGGCCACTCCAAGAAGCGAGAAGATTTCATCGCCTGGAGCCAAAAGCGAGAGGTGTCGGTCTCGCACACGAATGTCTCTGGTGAGGTGCTCTTGTCCGCGGAGGACTACAAAGGAAAGGCGGTCCGCATCAAAGACAGTAGCAGTGTGGCATACGTGGTGCCTGAAGAGACTGGATTGCTGAAGCTCTTCGTGGACAATTGTAGAGATGTGAGTATCTCGGTCATAGTTGGGTAACATGTTACATTTTTAAGGGTACTTAAACCCTACAAGGAATAAACAACATACTTGTAGTATTATCCCAACCATGAACTAGGTATCCATGTTCGATCTCTAGTGGTCACTTCGACTGTAGAGCTTTACAAGTGCAGCCGCCTGGAGTTGCTAGGCTGGATTTTGGGACATTTTGTGTTTTCCTCATTTGGGCGTATAAAAGACCCTATATTATGTATGTTTTTCAGGGTGTTTAGAGGCCAACCCAGGTTGTCTCTAGACCATCCTTTGGGCACCTTGCAAGTGGACGAGTGTGAGGAGTCCGTGGCTGTCAAGTTTGCTGAGCGTGACCACGTGGGCAAAACCTATCACCAGAACCTTGGAAGCCCCAGCGGTGCCCTTTCCCCCCTTTTTGGGTTCAAGGTTCCCTTACAAAGTAGCCAGACCCCAAAACAGGGCGCCTTTATCATATCATACCCTAAACCCTAAACCCTAAACCCTAAACCCTAAACCCTAAACCCTAAACCCATGGTTACTGGGCTACCAAGGAACTCACCTGGCCTCAGCATCTCATGGGGCTTTGCCGGCACGGCAACCTCCACGACGGTGGGCAAAGCTGGCGCTTGCCAGCTTCTGACATGCTTCTCAGGGATAATTGGGAACAATTGTTAATTTTCGGGGATTAGAATTCCTAAGAAACAGCAACAAAAATTATATATATATATATATTTATTTATTTATTTATTTATATATTTATATACACATATATGTTTTTTTTGCAGGGTTCCAAGTTCCCCAAGTTCCGTGTAGGCTTGGTGGATGCGGTCTTCCGCACCGAGCCGGTGAGGCGCGGCGAGGGCGAGTTTCCGCTGGATTTCGGCGGCGCCGGCGCGGTGGCTCCGGGTGAGCAACCGGAACCTGAGGCCGCTCCGGCGGCCGAACAAGCGCGGCAAGAGGCCGAAACCCTAAGCCCCAAGCCCTGAACCCTAAGTGGCCCTAAACCCTAAACCCCTACTTGAAGGTTCATGGAATACCCCTAACGGGCCTTATAGGGGTTATCCCAATTATAAGTAGGGTTATAAGCCCAGCTATAAGTGGTTATTAAGTCCCAATGAACCTCCAAGTAATCAAGCCCCTCGGGAAACCCCAAACTAAACCCCTAAGCCCCAAAATGAGCCCCTAAACCCTAAGCCCTGAGGCCGAGAAGCACCGCCTGGCTGGCAACGAGATGTTCCGCGCGTCAGACTTTAGCCAGGCTGCTGCCTTCTATTCGCTGGCACTCAAGCTCCTTGGTGTAGTGGTACAAAACCCCACAAAAATCACGAATTGCTGAAGACCCCCCCCCTCCAAACTGATGCAAATAGATTCTTCCTTACAAGGGTAATGTACAGGATGATTATCTGTATGTTGGGGCTGTTCTTAAGCAAATTGTACCAAGCTTCTGCCCTTTGGGGTTCAAGGTTCCCTGATAAAATGACCAATCCCCAAAAAGGGTACTCGTTTTCACGATATGGCTACTATGCTGCCAAGGCTTGCACCTGACTTGGGTGCTGCTTGGGCGAATCGCGCCCAGTGTTGGCTCAAGATGGGTGACCCGGCAAAGGCCCTCGCGGATGCGGAGAAGTGCACCGAGGTCGAGCCGGCGAACCTAGGTAGGCCGTTGGAAATTTTGTGTTACAGATTTTTTTCCCCCTGGTGGGGTTACGTGGACAATACTTAGGAATCTTTGTCAGAGGGTCCTAACCTAAACCCGAAACCCTATAAGGGCCATCCTAGGAACCCGAAGGGGTGGTTCAGGAAGGGCATCAGCCTTCATGCCATGCAGCGCTACGCTGACGCCATTCCCGCACTCCTGGAGGCTGAGGAATCCTAAATCCTAAACCCTAAACCCCAAACCCTAAACCCTAAACCCTAAACCTGGAGGCCGAGAAGCTGGAGCCTACCAACAAGCAGGTCTTGGACGCAATTAAGATGGCCCAACTCATGGCCAGGAAGGAAGCCAGCTAACTTCACACAGCCCTAAACCTTAAACCCTAAACCCTAAATTTTTAAACCCTAAACCCTAAACCCTAAACCCTAAAGCCATGACAGCTCTTCGGTACCAGATTGCCTGCCTCCCAGCCTGAAATCACAGGGTGCCTTGGCATGGACTAGCACTGGCGTGCGTGCTGTTGAAGCCAGGGGGATCATTGCAGCCTAGTGATGGCAGACTCCCACGAGACCAGAGGCAACAAGCGGATCAAAAGGTGCAAGCCCTTCCCAGAGCGAGGGCCCTAAACCCCTTAACTAAGGAATAAACCTTAATATTAAACTCTAAAGGGATCCTCGGTATGATTTAAGGTATATTCCTGAATTAAGGATATTAAGGAATATACCTTAAAACTCTAAAGGGATGGATCCTTGGAATGAAACCTAAACCCTAAACCCGCAACCCCTAAACCCCAGGTATATGCCTTAGTTTGGGGCTATTGGGCTCTTTGGGTTGTGAGGAAGCTGAGGCGGAGATGCAGCCTGAACGACGCCAAAGGTTTAGGGTTTAGGGTTTAGTTTTTAGGGCTTAGGGTTTAGGGTTTAGGGTTTAGGGCTTACACAACATCAACATAAACCTCTACCACTTGGGATGTTCCCCCTTGTGCTAACAGTCCTTAATAGGGATTATGGTACCCGTTATTATAATTCTTATTCAGGTCTGTTACGATAAGGGGGAACATCCCAACCTTAAACCCGACACCCGAAACCCGAAACCCCCTAAACCCCCTAAACCCTCTAAACCCCCCTAAACCCACCCTCAAACCCTGAGCCCTAAGCAATTGTCGAAGACAGGTTTTTTAGCACCTCGGCTCGCTCACCTCAAGTTGTGTTGGAGGTTGGGGGGGGGGGGGGGGGCTTTAGGGCACAGAGGGTTTAGGGTTCGGGGTTTAGGGTTTAGGGTTTAGGGCACAGAGGCTTTAGGGTTCAAAGTTTCGAGTTTAGGGCACTTTGCAGCAGGAAGGTTCGGAGCGCTGAGGGGTTCACCTGTTATATGATGTCTATAAGGTCATGGGGTCTATAGATGGACAGTTTAGGGTTTAGGGCTTAGGGTGATTTAGGGTTCAGGGTAGTTCTCCAATGTTGAGTCCCTGTCATGCAAGGGCTCCTGGTATTTGGGGCAGCATGAAGGGGACGATGATTTGGGGAGTGACCTGAAAGGGCCCGGAGTTCAGACGTCAAACATGTCCCTGCACTAAACCCTAAACCCTAAACCCTAAACCCTAAACCCTAAACCCTAAACCCTAAACCCTAAACCCTAAACCCTAAACCCTAAACCCTAAACCCTAAACCGCAACCTTTGCGTGCACAGCCGGGCGCACATCCACTCATGGCAGGGCTTGTTTTGGGCAAATGAACTGCACTTGGATTGAGGGTTTAGGGTTTAGGGCTCAGTAACCAGCTTCTTTTGAGTTTGGTCTTCGTGTTGTCCTGCACATCATTGGGGTGTCTCAGAATTGGGGGGAGGTGTTCGGATAGGAGCGTCGGGCATGATGTTTCCAGCATGCTTTCCAGCACTTGGAAAGCGCCCTTGGCGGAAGAGCACTCGCGTGAGCCCGGTGGATGTGGATGAGTGGGCAGTGAGGGAGTGCCGGTCGAAGAAGTTCCTGGCACCAATGTGCTCAGATGCAGCTTATTGAAAAAGAACAAATGTTCTTCCTTATTAAGGGTAATATAGGGATGATCATTAAAAAAAAAAATTGTGGCTCATAAGCAAATAGTAGGCTGTGACTTAAAGACTTAATGGCATTGCTTTGGCTTGGTTTGCAAAGAGGCACGTTGTAGAGAAGCTCATCCCAAAACCTGAGGCTATGGTTGGTGTGCTTCCCGTGCACGAGGCATGTTGTCTCCCTGACCTGAGTTCCAACATCGCAGATCTGCAACTTCCTGCGATGCTGGAGAGTTCAGTGGAGATGGGGTCTCAGACGGACAAAGCCTGCTGCAGGCTTCTGGATTCGGCGGAGAGTCTGCAAAGAGAGCGGACTTTTGTGGAAGTAGAAGAACTCAACAAGCTCCTGGCTACTTGGCAGCCCAGTGGTGCCAGTTACCCCTTCTTTTTGGGGGTTCTGGGTTCCCTTGTACAGTAACCACCCCCAAAAAAGGGTGCCCTTATTATAACAGTGGGTTACTGGGCTACTGAGACCCTTTTTGGGCCATGAACCCTAAACCCTTCTGACCCTAAGCCCTGAACCCTTTTTCTTAACCATGAACCCTAAACACTTCTGACCACTGGGCTACTAAGGTTACTACCCTTTATTTTTTTTTGGGGGGGTTCTGGGTTCCCTTGTAACCAACCCAAAAAAGGGTGCCCTTATTATAATAGGGTTACTGGGCTACTAAGGTTACTACCCGTGCGAACATGCAGGGTATCTCATCAGAGCTCCGCAGTTTCCTCGCGACTGCCGAAGACAACTTGGTGGAGGCGCGTGTGGACTTGCGAGCTGCCAAAAGCAAGGTGAGGGAGTCCGAAATTCGGGGTACCTTACTGGGGTCCTTATAAGAGAAGGGAATCCTACTGGTGGTTAATATACCTCAAGCCCTAAACCCTAAACCCTAAACCCTGAACCCTAAACCCAGCCCCCAGGTGCACGAGCTGGAGGAAGGCGTGGCGCGCTTGCAGAGGCAGCTTGCCTCGACAGAGATGACGGCACGCCGGTGGGAAGCAGAGTGCTGCAGCCTTTCCCAGGAGCTACTGGGATGACAAGCAGTAGTATAGGGTTCGGAAGAAATACCAATGGCATCCCCTTATGGTGTGATTGTACTAGAACAATTTTGGGTTTAGGGTTTAGGGTTCCCCCCCCAAACCCTATTCTATTATTACGGCCCCTAGAAAATTCCTCTTCCCTTGTTAGAGGCTCCGGATCCCTTGTTAACGTAATGCGCTTTTTCCTTTTCTAGAAACCTCAAAATCGGGTGCTTTGTTTGTATCCCTAAACCCTATAAACCCTTCAAGCCCTACAAACCCTAAACCCTAGAAACCCGTAGCCTCAGGTCGCAGGGGCGCCTAGATTTTTAACCCCAAACCCCAAACCCCAAACCCCAAACCCAAACCCTGATTAGGTCGCTGAAAAGAGCCCAGGTTAAGTGCACGCGATGAGCTGCTGGCCGCCCAACGCGGCGAGCTCATGGCCTCTGAGGCGCGTGGGCCTGAGGTTTATAGGGTTTAGGGTTTAGGGTGGCTTGCGTGCTGCAAAAAAGGGTTTAGGGTTTAGGGTTTAGGGGGGATGGGGGGGGGGGGGGTGTAATCATGGCAAAGAAATGTGTACATACATGTGTTGTACTGATACGGAACAATAGTGACAACTATATATAATGTGCTAGTATTCTATAAATGTAGAGGTACACTTTGTTATTGTAAGATCCACAGATATGTATATATATATATATATCTGTATATGTAACACATATATAGTCCACTATTATATAAGTTTATAACACATATATTATACACCATTATATCAATACTTATTTATTGTAAGAGGTGGAGGGGAGAAAGGAGATGCCAGTGGTCCGAAGGCTTGACTGCCCTGAGTACTCCTCTTGCAGGCAGAGGGCTGCCAAGGATTTAGGGTTTAGGGTTTAGGGCCAGGCCAGTTTAGGGTTGCCACACGCAGTGGCACCCTCAGAGTTTTCAGTACCCCTGATCTCAGGAATATCCCCTTAAACCACATAAGGAACCCTCCTAAACCCTAAACCCTAAACCCTAAACCCCAGGTATATTACAAGGGATATATTCCTTACTTGAGGAGTATAGGAGTCCCTGAGCCGAAGGTCTGCCGTCTGCAGGCGCTTCGCGAGGCCAGCGCTCATGAGGAGCGCCACGCGGCAGCCCTGGGTCGCATTGCGGCTTAGGGATACTTGGGAGTGTTTTTTTTTTTTAATTTAGGGTTTAATGTTGACTTCGCATTAATAAATCCCCCCCCCTTCATTGATCAATCTCTCCGGCCAGGGCCTCCTCAATAATATCCGCCTAAATCCTGGTAGGTCTAGCTGTCCCGGTGCCACCACGGTGGGCTAAGTGAGCCTCTACTGCGAGCTTCTGGGGGATCACTTTTAGAAGAATATTCCGGGCTGGATTTTATAATTGTGGCGGGCTACATTATTGTGTTCTGGCAGCTGGATTTTATAATTGCGGCGGGAATTCCTAATGTGAAGTCAACATTAGGGGGGTTAGGGCCAAGGGATACGTTTGCTGAATCGCTTCTTGATGTTGTATTCATTCCGGGGGAGTAGCTGATGAAAGTTCAGCGGGTGACGCTTATACAGTTGCTTGGTATGTGCTGCCCTTCCTCCCGGTTGTTTCGCATAGTACTGGCTAGACCCTCAGTCCACAGTCCAGTGGCAAAAAGGGCCAAGGGATACGTGGGAGCATTTTTTAATTTTGGGTTTTAGGGTTTAGGGTTGAGGGCTTAGGGGTACTTGGGAGTGATTTTGTCATTTTCTTTATCCTAGTAGTAGAGTAGGTAACCTTTAACCTTTCTTGAGTAGTATACTCCCCTTATAATCCCAAAGGTTAAACCTTTAATTCCCCCAGGGGAACTGGAGAACTGAGTTATATTTCCTAAGAAACAACTACACTTTTTGGGTTTAGGGTTTAGGGTTCCAAGTTCATTGAAGGCGGAGGGTGAGATGGAGCGTCAGTCCTTAGAGCTGGCAAACGAGCCTTGGTAAGCGGTAACCCTTTGCCCTTTTTGGTTTGGGAGGCTTCCTTATGATGTGACTAAGCCAACAAAGTGGGTGCCCTTGTTACAATAAGATAGTACCCTTTTCCCTTTTTTGTTGGTTCAAGGTGCCCTTATGAAGTAACTAAGCCAGAAAAGGGTTGCTCTTGTTAGTTTGTTGGTTCAAGGTTCCCTTACAAAGTAACTAAGCCAAAAACGGGGTGCCCTTGTTATAAGGCTACTGGCCTACTAAGGAGCTGTTGAAGGCAGAGTACGACGAGTGTGTTGCCTCGAGAGAGGAGCTCCTCTCACGGGAGACCTGTTGCATCTGCATGCAATCAAGGCGCAGCGTAGTGCTACAACCTTGTTCCCATTTAGGGTTGTGCCTGGCATGCGCAGAGCAGATGCCAAGCTGCCCGCTGTGCAGAGTGCCAATCGAGCACATAATTCCCGTCACGCTGCCCTGATGACTGATCCTGCTGCATGTACGCAAGGTTCCATTTCCAAGCATGACCTGCGTGTGTCGACACACGTCGGTAAGAAGGGCCTGATGCCGCAGACGTGCAAAATGGCGCCTGTTAACCTTTTTTGGTCCAGGGTACCCTAAACCCTAAACCCTAAACCCTCAGCAACTAGTTAGCCCTTATAGCTGGTTTAGGTTTAAAGAGGGTTCTCGGTGCACAGTACTGGTTGTGGAGCTGCTAGTCACGTGTCCCTAAACCTAAACCCTATAAAGCCCTTGAAGCCTATCAAGCCCTCAAACCCTATAAAGCCCTTAAACCCTAAGCCCTAAACCCTCAGCCCCTAAAGCCCTTGAGTAAGCGGTGTGCTCCCCAGCGGCAACCTCGGATTCACAAGCATTTCGGGGTTTGACGGGTGAAAGGGCTTCTAAGAGCTCTTATGGAGGTTCATAGAAGTATAAGTATAGGGTCATACTTAGGGTAGCTATACTTACCCTAAGCCCTAAACCTTAAACCCCAAACCCTAAACCCTATTTAGGGCCTGTGCTATAACTACCCCTGTGAACGTCCGAGTTAGGGTCCGGGGCCCAGCTTTCAGCTTTCTCCAGGAGAGGGCACAGCTGGAAGCAATCCGACTTGCCACTGAGGCAGAGGCGCGAGATTGTGCCGCGACAGGATTTAGGGTTCAGGGTTTGGGGTTTGGGGTTTGGGGTTTAGGGGTACGTGTGGGGCGGGGTTTGGGGCTCAGGCGAAGGGTTATCTCAGCCGCCTTGCTACAACTAACTCCACCCCAAGCGACTCAAAAGCCGCGTTTCGCGACATCAAACCCTACTGTAGACTTTATACGCCACGGTAACAAGGAGAGAAACCCTAAACCCTCAGCCCGAAACCCTTAACCCTTAACCCGAACCCCCAAAAACCTAAACGGTTGGAGGTTGGGATATGTTGGGATTAGGCTGAACTGTTTAGGGTTTAGGGTTTAGGGTTTGGGGTTTAGGGTTTAGGGTTTAGGGTTTTAGGGTTTAGGGTTTTAGGGTTTAGGGTTTAGGGTTTAGGGTTCCCTATAAGGGTCCACATCCTAAATCGGCGAGTCTTGGGCTTGAAGGTAGTCAGGAAGTCCGTACAAGTAGGTGCCCCCTTTACCAAGTTTTGGTAGGGGGAGTTATAACCTACATCAAAAGACTTATAGCCCATACTTAGGGCCCTAATAGCCTTACTTATAACAAAGGGGCCCCAACTTGTACATAGCACGCCCAAGTAACCAAGTATATGCTATTTGAGCACAGGGCCCCTCAGCGCTACCTGCAAATTTGATGATGTAGCGTTGGGGAGCTCAAGGACTTTCAGGCGGTGTGCCTGGAGGGTTTAGGGTTTAGGGTTTAGGGTTCAGGGTTTAGGGTTTAGGGTCAAGGACTTGTCGAAGCATGACAGAACAACGACCTTGGGGTTTGGTTCTTCTTTGTTGCAGAGCTTTTGGGGAGTACGGAGTCCCGCCCGCCCCTGACACGTTTGGAACTAGCAACCATACTGTCATACTTACACCTCTGCTCGGTGTTTGCTGAGACTTTGTGCCGCCCGCAGCGACTGCATCTCTCACGGCTCGAGCTTGGCCAAAGACTCGCCAAAGGGAGACTTTGTTCACGTCGCCACCCTGCGCCATGTGCGAGTCTCCTCTCTGCATGGGTTTAGGGTGTAGCGTTTAGGGTTTAGGGTTTAGCATCGGCGAGCTGAGGGGAGGCGGAGGGAATCGCTAGGGAGTACGGCAGGCATGGAAGTCCGACCCGAGGACTGCTTGGAGGGTCACGGGGAAGTATGGGGAAGAACCCTTAACCCTAAACCCTAAACCCCTTTTGGGGCTTCTAACCCTCTCTTTACTATTACTGGAGTGCCACTGCAGTGCAATTCATCTTCTGTCAAGCTCCTGGCGCGGCTTTCTTGAGCGTAGACAACTGCGCATGCAGGATTCACAGGGGGATTTGTTTTTTGTGATGCGTCATTTGGCATATATAAAAGCTGTACGAATAGTAATGTATGTATGTGTGCATGTATGTGTCCGTCTATATTCGTATATTAATATACATACACCAAGGAGACTTTCCCTCTCTCTCTCTGTATATATATATACACATATATATATATGTATACATATATATATACATACATATATACACACACACACATATATATACAGTATACTAAAGCAGCATGCTTGTCCGTCCCAGACTTGAGCTCTCTAGGGGAGCCAGGGCTGGTAGCAAACCTCTGAGGGCCCCAGAGCTTCGCGACACTCCCATAACTCCAAGGTTTAGGGTTTAGGGTTTAGGGTTCAGGGTTGAGGGTTTAGGGCAAATCCGTCCGTCAATAGGGCTTGGGGTTGTAAAAGGGATTTTTTTTTTTTTTTGGGGGGGGGGGGGGGGGGGGGGGAGTTGAGGAAAACCCTCCTCACCTCAAAGCCTAAAGGTGAATTAGCACCTTTGAAGCCCTCAAATAACCCTAATCCCCGTAAGCTCTTCCAGAAAAACGCAGCCGGAATGGTTTTGTTCAGCCTGCTCATGACTCCGCCGACTCCCGAAGCTCCCCGGGAATCTTAGGGTAGTTTATTGGTCCCTATTCTTATGGGCCGATGAAAACGACCCTCAGAGGGAAGCGGATGCCGAGGTACAATGCCCTGAATACGCCATGCGACGTCAACGCTTTTTCGTACCCCGCTGGGCCGCAGAACCCCAAGGCGGAGAGTTGGGAAATCGTTTTTTTAGGTTTAGGGTTTGGGGTTTGTGGTTTAGGGTTTGGGGTTTAGGGTTTAGGGTTTGGGGTTTGGGCTTTAGGGTTTAGGGTTTAGGGTTTGGGCTTTAAGGTTTAGGTTTACGGTTCAGGGTTCCCTTAAAAAGAAACCAACCCCAAGAACGGGTGACCTTATCATGATGTGGCTACTGATGTACCAAAGAACGCAAGCATCAAGTACGGCACCTCGCACGGGTTCATCCAAGCTTCAGCATCCTGTAGCGAAGCTAAAGCCGCAAGCCATGTGCTCCGACGGACAACTTCTTCCTAAAGGTCCTCAACCCGAAACCCCAAACCCTATGGGTTTAGGGTTTAGGGTTTAGGGTTTAAGGTTATAAACCCAAAAACCCTAAATCTCTTTATTGGCGGGGAGCTGGGAAGGCCAGTCGGGCCTCAGTGGACGAGCTGCTGATGACGGCAGCGAGGGCCACCTGGCAGAGATTTCAGGATTGCCAGGAACTTCAATACCTAAGGTGGGTTTAGGGTCGGGCTGAGGGACTTTAACTCTGCCTATCATGGCAGGTTTAGGTTTTTAGGGTTGGGATATTCCCTTTTAATAGGGATTCTAGTAGGGGGTATCATAATCCCTGTTAAGGACTGTGGTATAAGGGGGCACATCCCAACCAATACCCCATAATTTCAGGGATATTCCTTAAACCATAAGGGGTTCCTCGGTATCCTATGCTAACTTCCTGTTTGTTTTTATGGGTAGCATGCGGAACCCAGAGACTCCAATACTCCTAAATGAGGAATATAAACCCTAAACCCTAAACCCTAAACCCTAAATCCACTCTAAGAACCATAGGCCCCGTAGAGACCCGTAGAGTTTCTGTAGGGTTTGGCCGTCAGGCGTGGGCTCAGAGGAAAACTTGGGGTTGAAGGGTTTAGGGTTTTGAGTTTAGGGTTTAGGAGTTAGGGCTTCGGGTTTAGGGCTTAGGGTTTAGGGTTTAGGGTTTAAGGCTTCGGGCCGATGGGGTTGAGGGTTCAGGGTTGAGGGCCTAGTTTGGTTAGAAAGCCGCTGCCCCAAGGAGAGCGCGAACGCGCCCAACCGGGCATTGAAGCGACGCGTCCGACAACGCTTGCACAAGATGCTTTGATGGCAGCTCCTTGAAGTAGGGGGTTTAGGGTTTCGGGTTTAGGGTTTAGGGTTTAGGGTTTAGGGTTTAGGGTTTAGGGTTTAGGGCTACGAGGACCCGGAGTAGGCCCTGAGTTCCATTTGTTGGGGGTTTTCGTTCCCTTATAATCCCCTTAAACCCAAAAAGGGTACACTTACCAAAAAGGGTACTTTTTTTTTCTAGGTTACTCCTGGGTCTAGTAAAGCTCCTTGAAGTAGGGACCGTGAAGATACTAGAGCCCCCCCCCTCCCCTAGAATTATTTCTTTTTTCATCTATAGCAAAGCCAAGGAAATGTTTAAATACACTTTTAAAATAAGGTTCTAAGGGCCGTAAAGTTTAGGGAGCTATTGCCTACACAATTGAATTTCCAACTTTTTTCGGGCCCTTATAACCCTACTTGTAGCTGCTGGGCTCCTATTTGTAGTGGTGGTAGCATGAGCAGAAGGTGGTTTTGATAAGCTCTGGGTGGGATCGCGAGCCGCAGGCTCCGAATGTAATCCCAGGGCTTACTAAAGAATGAGCTTGGCTTTAGTTTGGCGCATGTCAAGAGGATAAGGGACTATGACCCTAAACCCTAAACTACCCTAAACCCTAAACTACCCTAAACCCTAAACCCTTTCCCCTATCAGAGCCTCCTCCTGCACCTGTGAACCCCAACTGTGTCCCCGGGCCACTGCTCAGTTCAATTTGACCAAGGTCGTGCAGGAACGTCAGGGAACGTGTAGAGCGCACATCACGTAAACCTCTAGGACCATGCCGTAATATGCCGTGCACAGAAGTAAGTTGACAGAGAAGTAAGTTGAGGCTGTTTGGGTTTAGCTGGACCCTTCCTCCATTGGAAAGGGTCGTGCGGAGGCCCTAAACCGCAGAGTAACCTCGTGCCAGGCTCCAGACTTCAACTGTTTCCACGTCCCTTAGTGCTTAGTTCAATAGGGGGGGGGGGGGGGGTGGCCTTCCTTGGAAGTATTGTTATAAGTACCTTAAATGGGGTTATATGTATAGATACCATACATATAGCCCTACTTCTGACTACCCATGAGCGTCCTCGTACATGCCCCAAACCTTCACCCCTTTCCTCAACCCTGTGTTGCAAAGCGCCTGCTCAGGAAGTTAGGCGCAATATTGACGCTGGAGGAGTTTGAGAGCGCGAAGGACGCCTTGTGGGGTGTGCAAGGTGGCTACTATAGGGGTCGGAATGATTACTAGTGTGCTTGGGAGGTTTGCTTGGGATTTTGATTTTTGAAGGGGTGGTTGCTGTTAACCCAAGGACTCCAATACCCCTTCATGAAGGAATTCCCTAAACTGCCCTAAACCATGTAGGCCCCTCCTATCCTCTACTTTAAGGGAAATTCCTTAATCAAGTATTGGAGTTTTTTTGGAAAGTGGTACTGCAAGAGACTTTGAGGAAGAGCTGACTTTCCGGGCTTCGCTTTGCTGCTTGAGGGAGAGGTTGGAGTGGAAAAGCTATAGCGCAAGGATGTCTTCTCAGAGATGTACCTTACAAGGAGGGGTCCCCCTAGTTCTAAGCAGAGTTATGAGGGCCCAAAAATCGGAGTTCAGTATAGTAAAGGGGCCCCTCTCCTTAGTGCTTAGGGCGTAGGTACGGTTTAGGGCACTGGTGGAGGGGGAACAAGTCTAGGAGGCAGGGTCACTGGCGTAATTCGCCTGGAGGGGCATCAAAACCCTGAGGGTTTAGGGTTTAGGGTTTACCCGAAACCCGAACTCCGAAGTTTTGCCTGCCGTGTGCGAGTCGCAA